TGCATTCTAGCTGCTATTTTAACATGGTATTAGAGCTGTTACGCTCTTGGTCTGTGGGCCCCACGTGCTTCCACTGCTTTCTTGTCTGTCGCGCGCCCCGTGGCGCGCGACGCTTTTTTTTCTTCCCGCCACGCGCTCGGGGCGCATGGCGATTTTCTGCCCGTCGTGCGCCCCAAGGCGCGTGGCGGCTTCCTGTTTCGCGCGTCACCCCGGGGACCCGCGCGTCCCCTCCTGTCGACGGTCGCGTCACCCCCCCTGGAGCCCGTCGCGTCGCCCCGCAACCCGCGCGCGGCCCTCGCTGCCCCGTCGCGACGCCCTGTGGAGCCGCTCGCGGCCCCCCGCTGCCCCGTCGTGGCGCCCTGAGGAGCCGCGCGCGGCCCCTGCTATCCCGTCACGGCGCCCTGGAGAGCCGCGCGCGGCCCCCGCTGCCCCGTCGTGACGCCCTGGGGAGCCGCGCGCGACCCCCGGCTGCCCCGTCGCGGCGCCCTGCGGAGCCGCGCGCGGCCCCCCGCTGCCCCGTTGCGGTGCCCTGGGGGCCGCGCGCCGTCCCCCGCGCTGCTGCCCACGCTCCTGCCCCATGCTGCCCGTGTTAGGGTTTGAGGGTGGCGAGTGTGGGGGTGGCGGGTATGGGGGTGACGGGTGTGTGCGCCGTCCCCTGCTCCTCCTCCTCCTCCGTCTCCCACTGCTGCAGTTGCCGCTGAGGGGGGTGGGTGTGTGGGAGCCGAAGGGGTGGTGCTAGGGGGGTGCCGTGGGAGTGAAGCTAGGGGTGCAGCAGGGGGTGTGAACGAGAGTTTTGGGACAAAGGGGGAGGTTGAAGGGGGGTGGCCGCCGTGAAGCCAGCAGCTCCAGTCGCCCGTGAGACCGTTGCGCCAGTCGCCCGTGAGCCCGTCGCTCCAGTCGCCCGTGAGCCCGTTGCTCCAGTCGCCCGAGAGTCAGCTGCTCCTGCCGCTCGTCTAGCCGCGGAGCCAGTTACTCCAGTTGACCGTGTGCCAGTTGCTCCAGTTGCCAGTGTGCCAGTTGCTCCAGTTGCCCGTGTGCCAGTTGCTCCAGTTGCGCTGTGTGCCAGCAGCTTCAGCTGCCGCCCACTACCTCCTCTCCTCACTAGCCCTCCTCCTCCTCACTAGCCCTCTGTGATAGCCTCTAGCTTTGCTTATATTTGTGAACTATAAACTGCTGCTTGTTGTGCTGATCATACCCCACTTTGACTATGGGGGTGTGTCAAAATGTGTAGTTTGTCTAGCCTGCAGTGGGGTACTCTATAGTGAGTACAGCCCCTTAGGGTTTCCTATATGTATCCACTTGCTTGCTAGTGCAACCTCTCCTTTGCCTACTTTCTCTTGCCTAGCTAGCTAAACCCTAGCTATGGCTCCTGCGTTCTAGCTGCTATTTTAACAGCTCGGCTGCGCGCTTGTCGGGCAGGTGCGCGGGTAGGGGAGGTGCTCACCAGGGGCGGGCAGGGCAGGCGCCTGACGGGTGGGCAGGGCAGGGCCGCGACAGCGGCTGTAGGCAGGGCCGCGACGGCTGCTGCAGGCAGGGCCGCAAAGGCGGCAGAGCAGGGCCGCGAAGGCGGCAGGGCAGGGCCGCGAAGGCGGCAGGGCAGGGCCGTGACGGCAGCTGCAGGAAGGGCCGCGACAGCGGCTGCATTCAGGGGCCGCGACGGCGGCAGGGCAGGGCCGCGAAAGCGGCAGGGCAGGGCCGCGACGGCTGCAGGCAGGGCCGCGACGGCTGCAGGCAGGGCCGCGACGGCCGCTGCAGGTGTTCGACGGCAGGGCCGCGACGGCAGGGCAGGCGCAAGGGCGCAGGTGAGGCAGACGCGAGGCGCGCAACAGGGCAGGCAGGCACGGGAGCGTGCTTCGGGCAGGGCAGGGAAAAAAAATCCATGGTGGGCCCTAAAAAAACGGTCCCACTAGGGAACTTGCTCTATACTATGTGAGAATAGTAAGAGTGATTGAATGAACTAGGAAGCAAGTGGGTACAAGTACCAAAACCTAAAAGTGTTGTACCCCATATTGTCTACCCCACTACAGCCTACACAGACTATAGCATATAAGTTTGACACGGGGGGCTGTTGTTGTTGATTTGTATGTGTCGAGGGAGAAGGTGTACGCGACGGTATCATGGCTTTTCGAAGCCGGTTGACCAGGTTGAGCTGGTCGGGAAGAGGTCCTTGAATCACCTTTGCGCAATTCATGGAGGTCTTTCTCCATAGTTGCGCAAAAATAAGTGCTCGAGTGCGGTAGTGCTTATCGTAGTCGTCGCCTTATTGATCGCAGCCGGGTTGGTTTAACCGTGGGCGTCAGATTCGTTTGGCCTCCGGATCCTCCGGCCATCATGGTCTTGGAGCGTGTGCTGCTCGCCAGTTCTTGGTTCGGCGAATTTCACGGGAGTAAAGTTGCGAAGAATCCCTGAGTAGCTCTCATACCATATTACAATCCCAAATGGGACTTACTGAAGGATCGCTCAGGGTTGATCGCAGGGTAGTGTTTGCAGCGGAAGTGTTGAAGTCAGATAAGAGTGAGTATAAATGACTAAGATGATAATAGCATCCATACATTGAGTTTACATAGGAAATACAAAGGAATGCGAAACGACCTAGACTAGCCATGTACTCTAAGGGGTACTTTCCATTATTACAGCGAATTTAAAACTGTGCGGCGCGGGAATCCGTTTCAAAATTGTTCCCGCTCTTTTCATTTCAATTGTTTGTGTTTGCATCGGTCTTGGTCAGACAGTTACTGTGTCGCTTCGACTCTTCTGACTCCTCGACTTTATACTCGATAGAGTCAGCTCCTGCAGCATATAGGAATGCTTTCTCATTGGATTTCATATCGTAACAGAAGGTAAAAACTTTTGTTTAACCGTGTAAGCGGGATAAATGAGATGTCATCGTCGAGAAGTAAGCTGGAGACCGCGCGACAGGATTGAGAAGTAAGTACGTTCAATAGAAACATGTAATTACTATTGCAAAATCAATTATCGAATCGAGGATCCCTTAGGGCGGGTCCAGCGCGTACACTATCCGTACATTACAGTTCATCCAGTGCGGTAATCTGTATTGCGTCAAGGTTCAAAACGGTGCAATTTTAAAACCGATGTGCACCGCCTGATATCTTTTCTCACCTCAACGAATGAACTGTATAGTACCTGTAAACGTACGCGCTGGACACGCCCTTATTTATCATTTTCCCTGAATGTTGGGCTGGTTTGATCTAGGCCCTCTGATTGGCTGCGGAGCTGATTCGTGCAATGATTCAGTCGAGCTGCAAAATTTCCCGCCAAAAAGGGACTGTAGAGGTCGGGCTACACCTGGGCGATATCGGAAAATTATTCTCAGGGGGAAAAATGGGCTCTTTTAGCGATAACCTCTAACCCGGAACATCTGTACTAGGACCACCGACCGAAGTGGGACTGTGGCGGGCGGGAGTGTTGGGAAACACGACGGAGGCGTGACACTACAAGACTGGGGAAATGATCTCAGTGTAACAAGGGTTTCGTCCGTTTGTGTGTGCTGTTCGGTATTTTTCTTTCATTTTTCTTTTTCCGAGGTGTCGTGACCCATCGTCGGGTCCAACCGGGGACAATTTCAGCAACCCAAGCTCACGTGCGACAGTTTCCAAATTGATCTTCCTATTTTACTCTTCTCTGTGCCAGCAATTTTAGTCTTGATTGACCTCTAGTTTAAAGCTGCGGCCTACATACTCCGAGCGGGAGGGCTGAGATTATCACTTGAAAACAGGGTGACCAGTTTTTGGACTCGGCCCCCTTTCCGGCAAAGTTAACGGTTGAGAGGGGTGGAGAAAGGGGGTTGGGGTTCTTTCCGCACGAAACCGAACTCCCCAGGTTGTTTCCCGCCCTTCCGCAGACCCTCCTCCAAACCACCCGTCAGCACGAAATTGGGCTGGATTCGCGTTTCCTGTCTGAGTTCGTCTGCTGCGGTGTTTCTGAAATATGCTGACTTCGTTCTCCAATCAGGCCGCACGAAAGGGTTGGCATAAAAAAATACACCCAAAAAACACCACTTAGTATGTAGACCGCAGCTTTAAGGGCGGAAAAACGGTCCCGTAATCCTACGTGTTGCTCCGTAACCCGGACAAGAGATGAGAATCGCTTCGCCCGTGTTTCCATGCATTAAACCGTGCCGTGCATTGATGTTTTCACGGCTGGTACTGAAGAGAAAAGTATGTCGCATATATCGATCCAGTTCTGGATCTCGAACGGGTTGTTTTGAACACCACACACAGACTCAGCAGGAAACCGATGGATTAACGTGATGATTTTGGACAGCCCATTAAATTTGATATAGTATACTGTATATGTCGGGTTGTAACTGCACGTGTGAAGACGCTTGTTTCTATTGTATTCATTGCTGAACAGTGAGTGATATTGCATCACGCTGTTCAGACAACTCGACATTGGTTGCTTGTTTCTTGCGAGAACCTCGAATTGAGCATGTGTACACTCCTGCTATGAAAGCCTGTGTTAGTATGATTCGGAATTGGCCAGCAGAAACCACATCGGACGAAATACACCACCACACAAGACGAAAGGACCGCTTTCATTGTTGTCGTTACAAGGGTGTCGATTCAAGAGCATTCACCCGTATGGCCCTGAACATTACGGGGAAACTCCTGACCACCTTCGTCATTTTAAAGCCCAAGACCTGAATTACAAAAAGAGGAAGGCAAACTGTGCACAGTTTGCCTTCCGAACCCACAGTTGACTTCCCGAGCCAGGCTGGTTACCAGAAAACATCGCGCCAAAAAACACAGAGTCGTAGGGGAGAACAAGTATGGTTGGCGAGAGTCCCAACTGCTCCCTCCTGAAGGAACAAACGCTCATAGTGTGCACACTTTGCCTTCTTTCGTAATTCAGGTTGTGCTTCCACCGTTGCGTCCCCCACGCTTCTCCCCACCGTCTCTCACACAACTCCCGGAAAATAGTCACGTATTCATCACAAAAAATTCACATTTCTGTGACTTTCTCACCTTGTCAAAACCGCGATGTCGCCAACGCTTTCCCCCACCTCTCACACTTTCCCCCACCGTCGCCCTAGCTTTCCGCCACCGTCGCTCACGCTTCCCCTTACCGCTGCTCACGCTCCCTCCTGCCTTCCCCCACGCTTCCCCACACCGTCGCTCGCGCCCTCCCCCACCTTCCCCCACCTTCCCTCACGCTTCCCCGCACATCGCCCACGCTTCCTCCCACCGTCGCCCACGCTTCCTCCCACCGTCGCCCACGCTTCCTCCCACCGTCGCCCACGCTTCCTCCCACCGTCGCCCACGCTTCCTCCCACCGTCGCCCACGCTTCCCCCCACCGTCGCCCACGCTGCCTCCCACCGTCGCCCACGCTTCCTCCCACCGTCGCCCACGCTTTCCCCCACCGTCGCCCACGTTTCCTCTCACCGTCGCCCACGCTTTCCCCCACCGTCGCCCACGCTTCCTCCCACCGTCGCCCACGCTTCATCCCACCGTCGCCCACGCTTCCCCCCACCGTCGCCCACGCTTCCCCGCACCGTCACCCACGCTTCTCCCCACCGTCGCCCATGGCAGGTGGTGGTGCGGCTGTGGAGCAGAGTGTTGGGCGCACAGCCAGGGCAGCGCGTGCAGGCGGGCAGCAAGGAGTGCAGTGCTGCAGGGGGCGGGTTAGGGGATGCGGAGCGGGGGAGGCGGGGGTTAGGGAGAGAGGGTGCAGGGATCCTCCTATCCCCCTTATACCCTGCCACACTCTTACCTCCTGCCCTTCTCCCTTACTCCGTTCCGTGGGGCCCCCACAGTCGTCCTCCTCTCCCTCTTTCTTCCTCCCTTCCGCCATCTATCCCACACTCTCTGCCTCACTACCCTCTTTCCCCTTTCTGTTGCCCGTTCTCCCTCCCTTCCTCCCGCCCTCCCTTCCTGCCATTCTCCCTCTCCTCATCCGCCCATCATCTCATCCGCCCATCATCTCATCCGCCCATCAACTCATCCGCTCATCATCTCATCCGCCCATCCTCTCATCCGCCCATCATCTCATCCGCCCATCATCTCATCCTCCTTTCCTCTCATCCTCCTTTCCTCTCATCCTCCTTTCCTCTCATCCCCCTATCCTCTCATCCCCCTTTCTCTCATTCGGCCTTCATCCTCCCACCGTCGCCCACGCTTCCCCCCACCGTCACCCAAGCTTCCCCATAATGTCGCGTACGCTCCCACCGTCGCTCACGCTTTCCCCCACCTTCCCCCACGTTTCTCATCGCCCACGCTTGCTCCCTCCGTCCCGTCTTGTTCCCATCCATCCAATCCTTAGCTCCTCCTCACCCCATCTCCTCCCTTCCCTCGAAGGCACTCGCTCATTCCCCTCCTGTCACCCACGCACGCACCCTCCCCTCGACCGACAAGTCGTTCTCCGCTTCCGTCGCATATGCGTTCATTTCCCCTTCCCTCATCTCCCCATTCCTCATCTCCCCTTCCCTCATCTCCCCATTCCTCATCTCCCCATCCCTCATCTCCCCATCCCTCATCTCCTCATCCCTCATCTCCCCATCCCTCATCTCCCCATTCCGCCTCACCCCATTCCGCCCCACCCCATTCCGCCATGCCATCCTACTCCTCATCCCCATTCCCTCGTTTCCCCATCCCTCCTTTCCCGATCCCATCATTCCCTCTGCCAACTTTCCCATCCCACCATACGGTCATACCCCATCCCGCGACCTCCCCGTCACCTCCACCCGACCCCTCTCCTCCCTGCTTCTTCCCATCTTCCCATCTTCCGCCTCGCCAAAAGGTTTGTTCTTCACCACCTCCGCTATCCATCCTTTCTATACCCATCCCCTCCTCCCCATCCATCCCATCCCCAACTCCTGCCCCTATCCCTCCTTTCGCGATCCCTCCTCTCGTTTTCTCATTCCCTCCTCGTTTTCTCATTCCCTCCTCTCGTTTTCTCATTGCCTCCTCTCCCCGCCCCGTTCCTCCATGTCTCCCATCTGCCGTACCTCACCTCCATTTGTTCCTCCCATCCTCCATCCTCGTTACCTCCCTGCCACCCTTTCTCCTCCCCACCCTCCTCCCCAGCCTTTCTTCCTCCCCTCCCTTCTGCTTCTCCCCCAAGCGTCCTCTCTGCCTCCCTTCCTCCCATCATCACTTCCTCCCTTCCTTCATTCCTGCATTCATCACTTCTTCCCTTCCTCCGTTCCTCCCTCATTTGCCAGTTGTCATTCTTTTGAATGCTTGCTTCCCTTATATTTCAGCCACGTCACATCTGACTTCTTGGTTTGTGTTTGGACAGGCCTGCTCTGCATCTGGTTGTGAATAACCTAGGCTGTCTGATAGTAACATGATGTATAGCCATGCCATGTATTGGATTTTTTTTTTTTTATAATACAGGATTATGAGCCTCAGAGCAGTCATACATATGACCAATACCAAGGAGTTCAATAATTAATATATTACCGTATCTGTAAAGTAAGGGGAATCACCCAACTCGAGAAGGGAACAAAGCTAGGGGGTGTGTGTGTGATGTTGCTTCCCGGTTTGTCTTGCCAGTCTGCTACACTGCAAGCAAAAAAACCAGGCCGTGGTAAAGCCACATCTGGTGCTTGGCACCTGTACCTGCATTGGGGGATATGGGGGTGAGTGAAGTGGGAAAGACAGTAAACGGAATGAGCAGAGGGGAGGAGAAGAAGCAGCGGGGGACAGATTGAACAGAGGGGAAGAGAGGAAGCAGGGGGGAACAGAGTGAGCAGAAGTAAAGAGAGTGAGCAAGGGGGAGGAAAGTGAGAAGAGAAGAAGGGGAGGGAGCAAGGGTGAAACAGAGGGAGCAAGGGTGAAACAGAGGGAGCAAGGGTGAAACAGAGGGAGCAAGGGTGAAACAGAGGGAGCAAGGGTGAAACAGAGGGAGCAAGGGTGAAACAGAGGGAGCAAGGGTGAAACAGAGGGAGCAAGAGTGAAACAGAGGGAGCAAGGGTGAGCAGGGAAGACGATGGGGGAAGCAGGGAAGGAGATGGGGGGAAGCAGGGAAGGGGAAGGGGGAAAGCAGTGAAGGGGATGGGGGGGAGCAGGGAAGGGGTTGGGAAGAAGCAGTGAAGGGGATGGGGGGAGGCAGGGGAGGGGACGGGGGGAAGGAGGGAAGGGGACGGGGGGGAGCAGGGAAGGGGAAGGGGGGAAGCAGGGAAGGGGATGGATGGGGGGAGGCAGGGGAGGGCACATGCGGAAGGAGGGAAGGGGATGGGGGGAAGCAGGGAAGGAGATGGGGGGAAGCAGGGAAGGGGATGAGGGGGAGCAGTGAAGGGGAAGGGGGGAAGCAGGGAAGGGGATGGGGGGAGGCAGGGGAGGGCACAGGCGGAAGGAGGGAAGGGGATGGGGGGAAGCAGGGAAGGAGATGGGGGGAAGCAGGGATGGGGATGAGGGGGAGCAGGGAAGGGGATGGGGGGAAGGAGGGAAGGGGATGGGGGGAAGCAGGGAAGGAGATGGGGGGAAGCAGGGATGGGGATGAGGGGGAGCAGGGAAGGGGATGGGGGGAAGGAGGGAAGGGGATGGGGGGAAGCAGGGAAGGAGATGGGGGGAAGCAGGGAAGGGGATGAGGGGGAGCAGTGAAGGGAAAGGGGGGAAGCAGGGAAGCGGATGGGGGGAGGCAGGGGAGGGCACAGGCGGAAGGAGGGAAGGAGATGGGGGGAAGCAGGGAAGGAGATGGGGGGAAGCAGGGATGGGGATGGGGGGGAGCAGGGAAGGGGATGGGGGGAAGCAGGGAAGGGGATGGGGGGAGGCAGGGGAGGGGAAGGGGGAAGCAGGGAAGGGGATGGGGGGAGGCAGGGGAGGGGAAGGGGGAAGCAGGGAAGGGGATGGGGGGAGCAAGTCGGAGGATGGTGAGAAGCAGCGCCGGGGATACGGGGAAACAGGGAAGAAGGGAAGGGTGTATGTGCGGGTTGGAAAGGGGGCGTGACAAGTGTGCGAGATGGGAAGGGAGAAGGGAGGGATGGCAAGGGCAACGAGGAGTGGAAGGGAGGGCGACGGGGGGAGAGAGAGAAAGAGAGCGTGAAGGAATGGGGAAAGCGGGGTGAGAAAAAGAGGAGTGAGCAGAGGGAAAGAGAATGAGGCGGGGGGAAGCGAGTGAGCAGGGGGAAAGAGAGTGAGTGGGGGGGGGAGAGAGTGAGCAGGGGGAAAGAGAGGGAGCAGGAGAGAGTGAAAGGCAATGGGAGGGGAAGTGAAGGTGACGGGCGGGAAAGCGAGTGCGGCAGGCGTGGAAGGCGACGGGAGGGGGAATCGAAGGCATCGGAGGGGAGAAGTGAAGGCGACGGGAAGGGGAAGTGAGGGCGACGGGAGGGGGAAATGAGGGCGACGGGAGGGGGAAATGAAGGCGACGGGAGGGGAAATGAAGGCGACGGGAGGGGGAAATGAAGGCGACGGGAGGGGGAAATGAAGGCGACGGGAGGGGGAAATGAAGGCGACGGGAGGGGAAATGAAGGCGACGAGAGGGGGAAGTGAAGGCGACGGGAGGGGGAAATGAAGGCAACGGGAGAGGAAGTGAGGGCGACGGGAGGGGGATATGAAGGCGACGGGAGGGGGGAATGAAGGCGACGAGAGGGGGAAGTGAAGGCGACGGGAGGGGGAAATGAAGGCAACGGGAGAGGAAGTGAGGGCGACGGGAGGGGGATATGAAGGCGACGGGAGGGGGAAATGAAGGCGACGGGAGGGGGAAGTGAAGGCGACGGGAGGGGGAAGTGAAGGCGACGGGAGGGGGAAATGAAGGCAACGGAAGAGGGGGGGGGGAGGGGGGGGGAGTGAAGGCGACGGGCTGAGCGGAGGCGACGGGCGGAGCGGAGGCGACGGGCTGGGGTCGCGAACGCGACGAGCTGCGGTCGCGATGGCGACGACGCGGGCGACAGAGAGCGGAAGCGAGGGAAAGGAAAGCGAGGGCGACGGGAGGGGTCACGTTTGGGCGATTCGATTTTCGCCGCGAGTTTACGCTACGGAGTAGTTGCACAATAACCTGCATTTCGACACAAAAAACTTCACCCAGCGAACACTAGGGTTGCGCGTCATCATCGAAATCCGCGCCACCCACATCGTAAGGCCCATCTGATCCCTGTTGAGTGAACGCCGACGCCCTGCCCTGTCTACAAGTATGGTCTATGCCTTGTACTTAGCGTGATATCTCAAACTGTGCACAGTTTGCTGTGCTCGCGCTTTTCTGGTTGTGGGAAGGACCCCACCCATCATGGGAAGCGAGAAACTGTTGTCGCAAATTGGTTTCGCGAGTGAAAGTCTCTCGCAACCCAACCGAACCTCTCCGTGCCTGCCTCCCGAACCTAGTTTTTAGCGTTGACTTCCGTTGAGTAATTCAGGTCTTGGGCTTTAAGTGCTGGTCTCGAGGGAAGCCCGTTTTGAGTTCGGACTGATATTGAAGGTTCGTTCATGGCAGGTTCGAGGCCTTTCCCTGATCTCCCAGAGGGGTACAAGGATCCCTGCGAGCAGCACGAGTGGCAAACTCTTAAATTCCCGCTTTATCTACTCCCCTAGCTCCAACACTCTATCTACTTAGGTGCTGAATGGATTTTCAGGTGTTGTTTTCATGGCTGTAGTTGCAGATGATTTACAAGGCAGCCCAAACGCTTTCTCACACTTGTAAGTACTCACAGTGGACTTGCGACACCGACACCCTAACATGGCGAGGAGGGACCAAGCCCCATCATTCACACTAGTAGTACAACATGAAAACTAACCACCACGGAAGTGCTTTGTAATTGTACACCCAAGGTCAGACGATTATTTTGCTGACGATGTTCCGACCGTTTCCTTCCCCCCCCTCGCGGATGAGTCGATACTATATACAGTACTCATGAGTCAATGGTAGATTTACACATTTGAACACATTAGGGTAAGTACACTCTCATAAAAGCCCCGATTCCCAAGTTTTGAATTGGGCCTGCGCCTGTAATTTTCCCAACATTCCTAAGTTTTTTCGTCCTAAGCGCTTAGGACGAAAAAACGGTAACCTTCGTGAAAATTAGGGCCAGAATTTGGGCAGCTCGGGGAGTCGAAGTGTTGGTGCGAGGGACTTCCCGTATCGAGGACGATTCCAGTGGGCAGCTGCATCTCGAGGGACTCCGTCCCAGGGACTTCCGTATGGAGGACGATTCCAGTGAGCAGCTAATATCGCGCCACACTGAGCGAATATGCTGCTCAAATGGATAATTTAAGGGTTAGGTTCGGTACAATACGTTTCGATGAGACAAAGTTTGTTTCTGTACGGTGAACGTTCGGCCAGTCCAAAATATCTCATCTAACCACTTTGTCCCACTCTGCGCAAACCAAACCCTCCCAACCTTCACACCTGAAATGCATCTGCCGCCGATTTCACGGACTGCGCCGGCTTTGTCATCCTCAAAGGCATTTGCATTCCAACCACGTAAGACGTGCGCGGGAGCTCCTCGGGGATCGATAATGTTCACGACAAATCAGCATTGCCGAGTTCGAGGGCAAGGGGAGTCGGTGTGGGGGAGAGGGAGCGGAAGGGGGAAGAAGGGGGAGGAAGGGGTGAGGTGAGGAGTCGTCGTGTGAAAGACATCGGACGGGGAGGATTGTAACGCAAGTCATGATGGGTTCCACAAGTATCGCTCCGAGGTGAAACTCAGCCAGGTTACTGACAGCGTTGCATAGATTTCCAGTTTGCTTATGTGGTTGTAGTACTACCGTTCCTTCGTTCGGCGAGTATCGCTAGCCAAGCGAGTAGGTTTAATTGTTCTTGAATTCTACTGCGGCTGGGACGCGCAACGGTACTAAGAAAATTTGTAGTAGCCATGGCGGCGCGACTTGCATGTGTGGTGGCCGTGCTGCTGCTTCTGTCGAGCGGCACCACTTGGCCGGGCGGCAGTCAGCTCGGGAACCAATCTCGCGGCTGCGTGACGGTGCACGCAAGCGCCACCATCAAGTCACCGCAAGGTTGGAACCGCTGAGCTGCTACCACTCACCATTGAATTAGTCGGTTGCAGCGCCCCGGCTGTACTAGAGAAGTACTATAACATAAAAAATTGGAAGGCAGCAGCTAGTAGTAGTTGTAGTACTATAGTACTATAGTACGTCGCGTTTCGCCGTTCCGCATCATAATCCTTGCCACGCTCATCCGCTCCATCCCCAGCAACACATGAACTGTGTCTGCCAAATTAACCGCGGATATTTTCCAACTCTTCCTCGCCGTCCCTAACGCAGTTTCAGCGCTGGTAGCCATCAAGTCCGCGCTGGGCCTGACGTTCACCAAGTGGTCACTCACTACTACTACCCCCAGCTGCGTCGTCCCTCCTGCGACAGCCGCGACTACTGATTGGGACAAAATCAGCTGCTCCAGTGGCGGGGACGTGACTTCAATGTAAAGGCGGGCGATTATTTGCTTAGTACTGTTAGCTGATACAAGCTTGCACACTATATTTTATCAATAACCGCGGCCTAATGTGTGTGTGTGTGTGTGTGTGTGTGTGTGTGTGGTGTGTGTGTGTGTATGTGTGTGTGGGTGCATGTGTGTGTGTGTGTCTCGGTACACGTGTGTGTGTGTGTGTGGGGGGGGGGGATGGTGGGGGGGGGGGGTGGGGGGGCGCGCGCTGCGTGGTGACCTTCCCAAATCGAATTTGTGGGGCATGAGTTGCTGGCAGGGATTTGTCGTCGCTCATGATAACCCGCAAGGACCTCCCCAGCGACTTGACCGTACTTTCGGCGCTCACTTCATTGTGAGTCTAGTATCCTTTACAATGCTTTCGCTCCCTTGACAATTCAGGGTTTTGACGCTAAATACTGTTTTTCTATGAGGCCTGTCTCTGCCACAGTGTCATTCACGCGGATCTTCTTGCTCGCAGATCGATGACTAAGAACTTGCTGGACGGCAACATGGGGAACTACCTCAAGTACATCACTGGCCTCTCAGCCACTTCGGCCCATTGCGCACGCAGCAGCTATTACAGACAGGCTGGTGGTGGGCAGGGCTGAGAAAGGAAGTGAATGAGTGGGTGGAGAAATGCGAGCTCTGCTGCAGGAACAAGGCCACGCTGCTGAGGAGTCAGGCAGAGCTCCAGCCTCTGGCCATTGTGGAGCTGGGGTACCGATGGTCTCTGGATATAGCAGGAGAATTACCGGTGTCCAGGCGGGGAAGGCGCTACATCGTGTTCATGATCGAGCACGTGAGCAAATGGGCAGAGGCGCGGCCATTGGTTAACAAGACGGAAGCAGCAGTCCCAGAGGCCTTCAAAGAGATGGTGATCACCAAGTTCGGAGCATGCGGTGAGGTGCTGTCAGACCAGGGAACAGAGTTCCAGGGAGAGTTTGAGGAGTTGCTGGCATCAAACGGCATACAGCATCGCACCCACCCGCAGGCGGATGGGATGACGGAGCGACTGGTGCAGACAGTGAAGAAGGGCCTGCGAGTGTACGGTGAGGCACACAAGGGAGACTGGGACAAGAAGCTGGCATGGGTGATGGCAAGGTACCGGTTCAGCAAACAAGCCGCTCTGAAGGACGTGTCGCCGTACTATCTGCTCTTCGGGAAGCAGCCGATTCTGCCAGTGGGAGCACCACGACTGCTGACTGATAACGTGGAGGCAGCGTGGGTAGCCTTGGCGGATGCGAGAGCAGTATACCTCAAGAGATGCTGCCAGCACCAATGGAAAGCTTGAAGGTGGCTCAGCTGCGAGACATTCATCGCTGCCGACAGCGGCAGCTGGAGAAAATGCAGGGCCGGGAACCAAATGTGGAAGCAGGACAGGAAGTGTACGTGCGGAAGGCAAAGCGGGACGGCCTAGATGTGGGAATGTCTCAGCAAAGGTGGACCGTCAAGGAGGTGCGAGAGTCAGGGGTGCTGGTGTTGGAGGATGCCAGTGGGAAGCAGGTCATGGACCACGTGACGAACGCGGCGATCGCGGGCAAGGCCAAGAAGACTCAGGCGTACAAGGGTCCCATGACCAGGGCGAGGACGGCGGCAACAGGTCATCGGAGGGGGCAGGAGGGAGCTTATCAGGGAGGCAAGTAGGGAAGGAAGGGAAACAGGAGAAGGACTGGAAGGCATCTGTGGGAAGTAGCAAAGTGAGCAACGAGCAGGAAGAGAGAGAAATTGATGAGAGTGTCGCGATATATATTTATATATGTTTATAACTGCCTGTAGCTTTAGCTTTAGTGTAGTTATGTTTCTTTGTTGTGGTGGTGCACCTCTTTGTTTCTTTGCTATATGTTCTTGCAAACCTACAGTGAAGACACACATTCTCGATTCTCTCTTGGCACAACTCCCTCGACACCCGCTTGGCCTAGGCTACTAAGCCTAGGCCCTTAGTTAAACCCGTTCCTAGCTAAGTTCGTCTCGTGACATGGTAACAGAGTGGTCCGTCCTAGGACCTATTTCGTTTATGGGCCCACCACATTTCGCGACTGCTACAGTTAGTGGCGCGAAATCCGCACCTTGCGTATCTTTTTTTTTTCCCTGCTGCTCGCGCTGCCCCCCGTCGCCTGCCTCGTCGCAGCTCTCAGCGCGACGGGCGCGGCGGACGCTATGGCGAACGCCAGCGGACCCGCCGCCAGCGACCCGCCAGCGAAGTCGCCAGCGAAGTCGCCAGCGGCCCGCGATCGCGTTTGCGCCATCGACTGCAGCCAGCGCCACCTTGCACCTCGCCCGTCGCACCGGCGGTCGCTGTGGGGGGGAGAGGGAAGAAGGGATGGGAGTGGCGGCGAAACTCTGTGGGGGCGAGAGGGAAGAGGGGATAGGAGTGACGGGGGAACGCCAGCGACGATCGCCAGAGCACTGGCGATCGCCCCAGCCGCTCATTCGCCCGCTCTGCCCGTCGCATTCCCCCCGCCCCCTGCCCGTCACCCCCCCCCCCCCCCGTCGCGACTGTTTGCGTGTGCAGCGGCGGTCGCCATGGGGAGGAGAGGGAGGAGGGGAAGGGAGTGGCGGTGGGACGCTGTGGAAAGGAGAGAGAGGAGGGGAAGGGAGTGGTGGCGGAACAGCACCAGCGCCAGCCGCCAGCACCAGGAACCAGCACCAGCGCCAGCCGCCAGCACCAGGAACCAGCCCCAGCGCCAGCCACCAGCACCAGGAACCAGCCCCAGCGCCAGCCGCCAGCACCAGGAACCAGCCCCAGCGCCAGCCGCCAGCACCAGGAACCAGCCCCAGCGCCAGCCGCCAGCACCAGGAACCAGCCCCAGCGCCAGTCGCCAGCACCAGGAACCAGCCCCAGCGCCGGCCGCCAGCACCAGGAACCAGCCCCAGTGCCAGCCGCCAGCACCAGGAACCAGCACCAGCGCCAGCCGCCAGCACCAGGAACCAGCCCCAGCGCCAGCCGCCAGCATCAGGAACCAGCCCCAGTGCCAGCTGCCAGCACCAGGAACCAGCACCAGCGCCAGCCGCCAGCACCAGCACCAGCAACCCCACCTGTGACCAGCAGCCCCACCTGTGACCAGCAGCCCCACCTGTGACCAGCAGCCCCACCTATGACCAGCGGCCCCACCTGTGACCAGCAGCCCCACCTGTGACCAGCAGCCCCACCTGTGACCAGCAGCCCTACCTGTGACCAGCAGCCCCACCTGTGACCAGCAGCCCCATCTGTGACCAGCAGCCCCACCTGTGACCAGCAGCCCCACCTGTGACCAGCAGCCCCACCTGTGACCAGCAGCCCCACCTGTGCCCAGCAGCCCACCTGTGAAAGACTGTACAGGGACCATCGTGGGTTGGGAGAGGTATGGAGGAAGACAGGGGTGGAGGGAGTGCGGTTCCAGGGGGCGACTGAAATGGGGGGTGAGGTTGAGGGCGGGTGGTTGGTTGGGGGTGGGGATGTGGGGGTTAGTAAGAGGGGACGCTGCGGCCACCCCCCCACCTCTTCTCCTCATCCCCCACTCAACCCCCCCTTTCGTAAAAGGGGGTTAGTAATAGGGGACGCTGCGGCCACCCCCCACCTCCTCTCCTCATCCCCCACTCACCTCCTCCTGTGTTCTTATCTATTCTCCTCTCCTCTCTTCCTCTTGCCTCCTCCTCCTCACGTACCCCTCTGCCGTCTCCCACCGCACCTGCCCCTTCAGGGGGTGTGACTTGCTCTAGCTATGTGCTGCAGGCAGTTAAGGGGGTGTGTCGCGATATATATTTATATATGTTTATAACTGCCTGTAGCTTTAGCTTTAGTGTAGTTATGTTTCTTTGTTGTGGTGGTGCACCTCTTTGTTTCTTTGCTATATGTTCTTGCAAACCTATAGTGAAGACACACATTCTCGATTCTCTCTTGGCACAACTCCCTCGACACCCGCTTGGCCTAGGCTACTAAGCCTAGGCCCTTAGTTAAACCCGTTCCTAGCTAAGTTCGTCTCGTGACAGAGAGGAGGAGCAAGCAGGAGTGTATGAGAGGAAGAGGGAGAGTGGGAGCAGGAAAAGGAGAAGAGCAAGGTATCTGAGACCAAGGGAAGGGAGGATGGAGTCTGTCAGCTGTCACATTTGCATGAATGTGAGAGGGATGGTGAGAAGAGATGGGAGATGTATATACTGTACATATTGTATATAGCGAGCAAAGCAGTGGCAAGGATGGGAGGCGAAGGGGCGGATGACTGTTGGGGAAAGCGGGGACCAGGTTAAAAAGGGGGAAAGGTCGAACGTCTGCCAAAGCGAGGGGTCGGGCAGTTGCATGGCGGAAAGGGGTGGGCGGCACTTATGGAATCAGAGCATGGCAGTGGGCGGGAAGTACACCGCTAGGCAGCGGCAAGGGGAGAAGGAGGGTTACCACCAGTGCTAGGATGGGTGTTGGCATGCATGTGTGTTTGTTTTCGTCTGTGGCCAGGTGTGCTCCAAGGAGCCAGCTGGATCTGGATAGAGTCAGCTGGAGGCAAAGTAGCCAGAGGCGGGGAAGAGAGGGGAAGGCAGCATGGATGCAAGTCTGCTCAAAGGCAGCACTAGCTACTGGCGAACAGCCTAGAGGATTGACAGGACGGGAGCGATGGTTGCTGTGCTGGTAGTATAGGAGGTTCCTTGTCGTAGCTATCCTCAATGCTTGTATGTTTCATTTTCTATACGAGATTCTTGCGACAAAAGGGTGCAAGTGGTGATTCTAAGGAGATATGACAAGCTAGGATGAGTTAGGAGTAGTCCAGTGTCGTTGCTATGTGAGGGAGCCAGAGCTCATCAGGGAGGCAAGTAGGGAAGGAAGGGAAACAGGAGAAGGACTGGAAGGCATATGTGGGAAGTAACAAAGTGAGCAGTGAGCAGGAAGAGAGAGAAAGTGATGAGAAAAGGAGCAAGCAGGAGTGTATGAGAGGAAGAGGGAGGCATAAGAGTGGGAGCAGGAGAAGGAGAAGAGCAAGGTATCTTAGACCAAGGGAAGGGAGGATGGAGTCCGACACGTACCAGCAGCAGCTTAGGCTGCCCCTTTAGAACCAGCAGCAGCATAGGCTTCCCCCAGGCACCAGCAGCAGCTTAGGCTACCGCCAGCGCACCAGCAGCAGCTTATGCTGCCCCCAGCAGAACCCGCAGCAGCATAGGCTGCCCCCAGCAGAACCAGCAGCAGCATAGGCTGCCCCCTGCAGAAAGAGCAGCAGCATAGGCTGCCCTCAGCAGAACCAGAAGCAGCATAGGCTGCCCCCAGCAGAACCAGCAGCAGCATAGTAGGTTGCCCCCAGCAGAACAAGCAGCAGCATAGCCTGTCCCTTAGCAGAACTAGCAGCAGCATAGGCTGCCCCCAGCGAACCAGCAGCATCTTAAGCTGCCACCAGTGCACCAGCAGCAGCTTAGGCTGCCCCCAGCAGAACCCACAGCAGCATAGGCTGCCCCCAGCTGAACCAGCAGCAGCATAGGCTGCCCCCAGCAAAAATAGCAGCAGCATAGGCTGCCCCCAGCAGAACCAGCAGCAGCATAGGCTGCCCACAGTAGAACCAGCAGCAGCATAGTAGGTTCCCCCCAGCAGAACCAGCAGCAGCATAGCCTGCCCCCCCAGCAGAACCAGCAACAGCATAAGCTGCCCCCAGCGAACCAGCAGCATCTTAGGCTGCCACTAGTGCACCAGCAGCAGCTTAGGCTGCCCCCAGCAGAACCAGCACCAGCATAGGCTGCCCCCAGCAGAACCAACAGCAGCATAGTATGCTGCCCCCAGAAGAACCAGCAGCAGCATAGTAGGCTGCCCCCAGCAGAACCAGCAGCAGCTTAGGCTACTGCCAGTGCACCCCTCTGTTTCTAGCTCCTCACATGGCGTGTACTAGGGTTCTAGAGCAGCAGGGCCAGTCGCAGCACTCACAGCAGTGGGGACCTGCGGGTCCAAAGTATGGCAACCCCAGCAGTTGCCCAGCTAGAAGTGGGCGAGACTTCGGCCCCTGCGGGTACCGGGCCCTGACAGGCCCTGGTGCTGGCACTACCTGTTGGATTCCTGACCACTCTGCGTCCTGCTGCTACCGTCGACTCGACGACCTCCACCGTAAGCGTTTTGGTGCGTGTGTAGTTTCCAGTCCAGGCGCTGGGAGACCTGAGATCATAATACTGAGATGCGGGAAGGACGCATGACATAGACGGTGGTGCCAGAGGACCGACGGGTGGGTGAGTGGCCGACAGTCGCACGACACACTGCGCGACGTGCAAGGTACTATCGTCATTTGTGACTCCTCTCTCTACAAGCTCAGACCCAAGGATAGAGGCTGATTTTGTACCAGGCACCCAAGGACCCTTGGAGGTGACGCCGAAGAGAGGTTTTAAGTTTGATAAAGTCTTAATAGCCCGAGTTTATCAAGCCCTCACACCAACAAGCTGGTATCAGAGCCGCGTTATATTGATGCTCATCATAGGTAACTATGGCGGGAAAATCTTCGCCCGGAGGTAGTGAATCTTCAGCCCAAGATCGTAGCGGTAGCCAATATTCTAGTGCTTCGGCGCCATGGGGAGCGCGTACAAACCAGGGCTCGCTGATCAAGGAGGTGCTGAAGAATTTCACCGTCGAGAAGTTCAATGGTCAGGGCTTTGATGATTGGGCCTGGAAAATGCAACTCTCTATGGATCCGTTGTTGACGGGAATTGAGTGTTGGCCCCGCCCTCGCTTGGGCGAAGCCGACGTTGTGGTTGGGAGCACGGGAGGTGTGCTGACCGTTCTACAGAGGTCGACGCCACGGTAGGCGACCTGCGGGCGACTGCTGCACTGACGCCGTCGACGGGAGCCGGTGGTCGATTTCGACGGGGAGGTCGACGAAGGTGGTCGTCCACCTATGCGAGTCTCCCGAGGAGCGTCGATGGTATAATCTTGACGGCTACAGTAGACCGAGCTTGTCGACGGAGGGGACCGTCGACCAGGTTGGTCCCCGACGAAGGTGGCGGTCGATGAGGGAGGTCGTCGACCAGGGTACCGGGTGGTCGACCCAAATCGACCAAGTTACCTCAGCGAGGTTCAGCGGAGGCACGCGAACGTCGTCGAGGCCGCGCTGGCGAAGGCGACTTCGGGCTGGTACCCCGAAGTCGATGTGGCTCATCAGGCGCAGACAACAGCCGACATGACGTGTGACGGTGCATGTCGGGCCAATCGTCTGCGAGCACATGAAAACATGCGCGCTGCTGTCCTCTACGAGTGCAACGCTGGACGGCCGCTTAGCTGCAGCGTTGGCATGCCGTCGACCTGCTCTGTTGGCAGGCCGCCTTTCTGCAGTGCTAGCGCGGTTCCTCTACGCAACGCTAGCAGGCCGTCCACATGCCTGGCTACTAGGTTGCTAGGCTCTGATGCAATCATTCTTGCCAGTGTGTTTCCTATCATTCTGCAATGCAACGTTACCTTGTAAAACTCATGCCAAATTGCTATGTGAATGCACAAGTGCTAGAGAGCGATAAGGAACACTACGATCACTCTTAGAACCCGTGTCTTTCCGTAGTCAAGCTCCTGGTGTAGAGTGACTCTCCGCATGGTGCGATGAGCGTGGACGGCTCCGCAAGGAGCCTTCAGACTAGTAGCCGATTGCTCACTTACTTAAGTCGTTCGTAAGTGTAAGTGCGTTAGATACTAGTATGGTTGGTACCATGAATAGGTGCATTGCTTGTTAACGAAAGTCGGATATTGGCCCCGTCCTTGCTAGGGCAGAGCCGACTATGTGGTCAAGTGTGCAAGGGGTGCAGCCGACCGTCTGCAGTGGGCGACGCCGACCTGGGCGAGCAGGTCGAAAGACTTGGTCGACCTGCTTGGCGCCACTGCGAAGCCGCTGACAACGGGAAGTCAGCGGCTGACTTCAAGATGTTGGTCGTGTAATGTGATGCTATCATTTGCATTCACGTATGTCTGCCTCCCATATTATGTTCGTGCATTACATGAATGGTGTGAGCGTGTGCAAGAATTTGTGTTAGGTGTTGTTTGGACTTTTTGAGTGTGTGGGGATGTTTTTTTGCTTGAGAAGATATATGAAATGACTTCTCTGTTCAATAGCTTTCCGACGAACCAAGAATCGTTGCGAT